AACCCTGCCACTCAACACTGCCCCAATCATCCCTCCAATTGTCAATATTGAAGCAAATAACGAATACTGCACTAATGAAAAGAAGAATTATGAAAAAGAAACCAAAAAATAAAAAAATCCCTAATCCCTTGGTATAAAAAAAAAAACCATAAATAAAAAAATGCAAATGAAATGATTCACTTTTTATATAAAAATTTAACTTGTGAATTTTAACAAAAATCTTACATTCAAGGTAAAATTATATAATTTTAAGTCATATACAATCCTTATTATATTTTGAGATGAAATTTTACCACTCAACTACTAGATCAATAATGTGGTGTACCCATCATTAAGTGAGCAATGCTAGGGGCACTCGCCCGTGCACTCTCCCACCAACACCTGCCTAGCCGTTTTGCCACGTTAGCTTTAATTTTAAAGGGGAACTAACAACTTAGAATTAGCGGTTATCACGCTAAACTAAAAGCGTTTAATAAAAGAAGGAATTTTTTTAGCTCCACCCACCATTCTGGTGCACTACAACTGGTCGAGTCCGAAGTAATCGGGGCAAAACCTCATATATTGAGCGAGAACACAAAAAAAAAAAAAAAAGCGTTTAATAAAATAAGGAATTTTTAGCTCTTTATTTCCCCATTCCTTTTGCCTTGTTACTTTTTCCTCATCTGACACTTCCTTTCTCTTTCTCAGCAGTTCCTCTTTTTCTCTTTTTTATTTCTATTCTCCCCTACAAGTCTACAACACCTCCTGACAACTGTTAATTGGATCTAGCCCACACCCAAATTTCAAAAAGGTCAGAAAGGAAAGTAAGAAAGAGAAAGCCAGAGAAGAAATTTTTGGCCTCAAATAAGTTTGTTGGATGGCCGATGACCAGATCTGAAGTAGGAGAAGGAGAAGAAAGAGGTGGACGGTCAATGACCAAATTTGATGTTGGATTGAAGTTAGAGATAATTTAAACCTTTAAATATGCTGAGATTTATGTTGAAGAGGTTAGAAATCTTGGCAAATTTGTGATTGAGAGAAGATCCATAAAAGATGTTGTTAGGAAAGGAAGCTAAACTAAAAATCATGTCAAAAATGCATGAAACCACTCTAAATTTGAATCGTGTATAATGAACGATGCTAATAAGATACAAAAACATCGGAGGACGGCTGAGAATCATGGATCTAAAAAACCCAGGTTTGACTATAACGGAAAAGAAAAGAGGGAGGGCAACTCTCGAATCCCTTAAGCCCCATGAAAGCCTCTATGAAGAATCCACAAACGTATTGCCTGAAAAAAGCATACGATGAACTTCCAGTTCCTCTTGGTTGAATAGGTAGTAGAAGAATTGCCGAAAAAATAAAAAAGTAGAGGAAAGATATGTCATTATATTTTATTTGTGTACGTTTGATGTTCCGCCGAGCATTCCACAACCGGTGGCCTATCCATTCTCTTAAAATAAGGGGTAACGTGGCAAAACAGATTGGCAGTTGTTGGTTGGAGAGTGCGAGAGCGAGTGTTCCTGGCACTGCTCTCACTGCTATCATTATGTAGCATAAAGAAGCAGCATAAATCACCATAAAAGTCCTACCTCAACCACAGATATGCCAAGATCATCCATAATCCCAGTTTCAGTCGGGGATGAATATCCTAACTGCACAATCATATTAATATTTTGGATCCACAAATATGGGAAACAAACCCTAAACACAGCGTTCATGACATACTTACTGCAGTCCCAAAAACAAAAGACCCACAAACAGCAACAAAGGTGCTGAAGACAACCATAAAGGTTGCATTTTGATCATGATCCTCGCATTCTTCATCATCTGGATTGGCTCTTTCCTTGACAAGGGGTGTCCTTACGAATTCTTCTTCCCCAGTGTTAACTATCTCCATGTTTGACTATATTGATAAATTATAATACTCGACTGAAGAACTGAGGTAGAGAAATGAGAAGCTAGGAAATATGAAGGAATGGTTTGATTTTGCAAACGAAAAGAGTGGGAGACAGAAAGAGAATGGCAGGTAGTCGACTATCAGTGTCTTGTCAGCAATCCAATTATAACAAATTAAGTCAAGAAATGTGTCTTTCAGCACCAAGGACACATGACCAATAAGTTTGCAAAATCCACGAGTAACCCAAAATTCAATGGGAAATTCACGTGTTGTTCACATGACCATTAACACCATTAATTATTGCTGACATGACTATTATAGTAATGGCATGTTAAATAATTGTCTCACTTGGCAAGTTAAAATATTTTAAATGACAAATTTAATTTTAAATTAATAATTAATAGTTATCTATTAAATAATTAATCATATTAATTAATTAATAATTATTAACTAGATTATTGAGCCCGCACCGTTCTTCTTCAAGCTTACCTTTTCCATTTATGCAATTTCCTTATTTCAAAATTGTAGGTTTTTTACCAAAAAAAAAAAAATTGTTAGTTTTTTATTTGTGTGCATCTCCCTCTACTCTAATCCAAATTAAGCATATGATATGCCATCAGAAAGCTCTTTTATTTTTTAGACCTTTCTAACCATATAACATTCATACTATGAATCATTCTCTATGATTTATGTGAATTTTTTGTAATATTCAGCCATGAAAGCTTAGATTTGAAAAATCTGTAAGCACAAGAAGACATTGGCTACCAAAAATTGCAGATTTAATCTAGATACATGGAAGATCATTTACGCCAAAAATCACAGAGTAATAGTAAGCATGCATCAAATTGCCATTAATATGCATTGAGAAAGAATAGCAAGAGGAAAGGGACCAAGTTAAAAAATAGAGGCCACCTCTAATTTTGTAGATGCTATTTTGGTGACTTAGACCTCTGAAAATTTGAAATTTTCTTTCGCAATGATGAGATGCCAGTAAGGTCACCAATTCCGTCAAATCAAAGCTGCCTAGCATTGACCTTAGATCTTTCGAAGACAAGTTCTAACCCAAACTCAATCTCCTCCTTTGCAAGTCATCTCCTTTTCAAGGTCCCAAAATCCTCCAGGTGCTCCTTTTCTCTAATTTATTTGGCCTATATATGTTTGGTTACTAAGGAAATGTTCTAACAAGAGAAAATAGTAAGCTTGAGAAATTTAAAGAGGGATGAAGGGCAATTTAGGTAGTGTATGATAAAATACATTTTTTTATCATGCCAGCTTAATATTAGTTAGGTAGCCAAAAGTTCCTCCCTATCACCAAATAGTGCCATATAAGTGAATTTCAAATAGCTTTTAATGTATGCATGAGGGGCACGTGGATTTTTTTGATAAATTTTGGGTTATTTGAAGATTTTCACGAACTTAAGGGTATTTACCCAAAAATAAAAAATATGTAAAGTACAAAGAACGAATTTGGCGTTATGCCACAACCTTTCCTTGCTAACGAATTTGGCGTTATGCCACAATCTTTCCTTCCTAGGGTACACCTGTCTGACGTTCGGAAGCAATGTTGCCCCGCAAGGACCCCACCACGAGACCGGGGTGGGGAAGAATATTCGTACTCACATAATGCAGAGAGCAGAATATTCCTACTCACATAATGCAGATACGAAAAATTTTCTGTTTGTGAAATTTTACAAAAGAAATTTTCTCATCCTGCGGTTCTCACAGGGATCCTAATGTTTTGGGAAATATCTCTAAAATAAAAAAATTATTAAATCAAATTTAATTTAAATACTCCTGGCTAGTCATGGAATTTTGTATTTCTTCTAGTGCGCGTCCTTTAGTCTCTGGTACAAGCTTTGCAATGAAAAAAGTTCCAGCAGCACAGATGCCAGCAAATATGAAAAATGTCCCTGATCAAACAGGATAGGATATATAGCCAAGAAGGATCATCTTAAGAAACTATTATTAACACTGTCTTTATATAGAGAAAAAGTTAAAAGGAAAATGAGGAAGCAATACCTGCTGAGCTCCACTCAAATAGAAAGGTAAAGGTGTAGGCAGTTACCCAAGAACCAAACCAGCTCACTAAGGTAACAAGGCTTCCAGCTGACACCTTTATGTTAATTGAAAATATCTAACATAAAAGCCATGGAATCAGCATGTTTAGGATATGCATTCTTTTATGAGTTTACACCACAGTCAGAGAGACTGAGTAAAAGTGAACTTACAAAAGAGGAAGAAATATAATGAGAAAAGAAAACAATGGAACCTCACCTCTGACATTATAACAAACGGTATCCCTCCCATGGCGAGTT